ATCCAACTTCCCAGAATGCAACGTATTTAATATTTAAATGTCAAGTCGCTGCTCTGAATAGCAAACTATAAATCTGAAACTGTCTGTTTTATACCCTCTTCTGTCAAAATTAGGAAGCCCTTAGGACAAACAATGACATTACATGCACTGACGATGTTAACAACTATTAATGCATTGTGGGTAGTGAAGTGCACTATTGATTACGTAGAAGAAAACTGATGAATTAATTATGATTATAAACATGTGTTTTCACCTAACACAACAATCAATCAAAAAAATTCATCTAGTCTATTGTAATAACACACACATTTTTGGTATGGAAAATTCTTTCATCAATTTAAAAAATTATTTAAAATAATAACAAAATAAATTTCACAAAGTGGGAAAATATTACAATCCATAAATCAGACGATTGGAGACTTTTAAAATTTTGTTTTAAGTTGAACAGAATAAAATAATATCTCATAATTATTAATTCAACTAATATTTGTTTTTAAAGAAAAATTAAAATAATAATGCTACATAGCTTGTTGTGGGTCATTACTATTATCATAATCATCATTTTAACTATTATTTTAATTAATAATATTATGATCATTATAATATTACATCAATACTACCAACCCATCACTATAATTTTATTCCATAAATTGCAGGTAAATGGAGCAAAGATGTGCTGATGGTGCCATCTAACGTAATGAGATTGAATTTCTCTGAAATTCTGCTATTGTGCATATAAATGAAATGACTTAATGATTACAATTTCCTTTAATAAAGGACATGGGTCAATTATTCCATATGTACAATATGCTATATCGCAAACAAATATACATAAGTTACTTCAAATATGACATTGTGTCTTGACTTTTATTAATATTACATGAATTCTGTGGAAGAGGATTATCAGTCACAGAAGTTGGTTCTCGCAAACATACAAGAGGCCAGGGTGACAGATGTGCTTAAGAAACGAATTGCTAAAAACCGCAACAACAACTGTTAGGTTCTTAACAACCCACGCAGGTCATCTGGAAAAATTACTTATAAAACAAGTCTATCCCCTTACACACATTACCATCATTTATATCATATTTATCAATATATTTTATATTAATATATTACATGACCTAAAAAAACACGAAGATATAAAAGTAGACATACCCGTCTGAAAGAAACCAGAGGTCATACACCACTGATGGTTGTAATAAAGATAAGATATAGTGGAACGTCCATGAGAGCAATTTTCACCGCACAGGTTTGTTTGATTCCTGTAGTTTCTCCACTCCAAAAAATGGTCAATAGTTCCTCCACTCGCGGGAGGGCTGACGTTTCATCAATTTTAATGCAAACTACGCGAAGACCTCACTCTTCTGCTATTTAACTTCTTTGGTAATAACCACTATGTTAAATTAGGTACTTTTGCAAATAGTGAATGGTTTAAATAATAAGAAGATCACGAAATTAAAGGGATGAAAAGACCACTCAAAAAATAGTAGAAGCAGTACAGGTATTTAACAAACTATGCAATCACTCTCTTTTAACAAATTTTTTCTGTGATTTGTGAAAGTACAAGGTAAAATATATTATACTGTAACTTTTATAACTGTACCTCGAAAACTGAGCATTAATTCTTATTAGATCCGGTAAAGAACAAAATTATGTGATTGGGTATATTGCTTCTGGATTATTATTTCTCACAAGTTAATAAATAATGATTAATTTTCAGCTAAAATAGCACTTCATCATTCTCATGAAAATATAGTCCTATGCTCTTCAGTTTTCAATTGGATCTGATGTATTATGTGGCTTGGTTTCAAACAACCGATTACTGTAACATAGACTGTGTTCATACGTAATTTCTGAAGGCAATAACCTTCTGTGTGTTTCACGGGGTATCAATTTTATAACCGTTCCTATTTCTAAATGGTTAACACCTCAGAAAGGGAAGAGTTACGTTACAGTGAATTCAAGCCTGGGTTTGCCCACTTTGTCATCTTTTGCTACCAAAAAGGTACTAAAGAGGATTTATTGTTTTTCTTTAATTTTGAATCCACCCAAAAATTGTCTGGCCATGAATCCTGTGTTGTAGTTAATGAAGCCCATCCTACCACTGCCAGCCACTGAACTCCACCCGTCATATTGTGCTTCCCTACACCAACAAGCCGTAAAAGTGTGCTAGTCACCTGTTGGCTCATTACCTTCACTGTATTTTTAATTAAGTTTATCAAACATAACATTACATAAAGCTATTAATGTTGATTCTGCATTTATTATTGTAATTTATATTAGTGGTTTGAAAGCTACTGGTGAGAAATATTATTTATGGGCTTCAGTTTAATGGACATGTTTTGGATGTATTATGACTTAATTTCAAGTTTAAAGTATAAGTTTTATGAGATCAATATTATTTACAGTACATCTGAAACATATTAATTTTAAAGATTAAAGAACTTCATCTCATTTTGTAAAATGTAAGAGGTTCGACTACCAGGGTTTTGTTGGAACGCAAATCCTATTTCTAAAAGTACTACGACGGACTAAGGCATCCTTCAAAAAGCTAGTTTTTAAATCTATTCAAATTCTAATAGGGCGCCCCCTATCTCATGGTAGTACTTTTTTTAAACGTTCAATTGCGTGCATGATACAAAATCAGGGCATTCAGACCTCTTGCAAGTCTATGCTCTTTGGTATTAACCAACTGACCCAGACTGACTTCTTACAATACATCTGATGAAATCATGCATTTCCTATGTACCGGTATAAATATTACAAAATATAACGAAAAAAAAACCAATTTAAATTTCAAGTTACAAAAAGTACAACTGCAATCTCTTTACTTTAGTTTAATAATTTCCCAGATCATATAAAACAGCTCACTTAATAAATATCAAGGATCATTGGAAACTCTAATACATGTATTTTATTGAGTCATTTATTTTTATTGCTAGTTCAGAAAAAATAGATAAATATGTTAACTTCAACAAAAATAATTCCACGTGTCCTATATACAGAGTTCACGGAAAAAGCCCTTGAAAGTGTCAGGGTACCACGACGCTTGGAACGTCCCTGTGACGTTTGAGATTTGGCAACGATGCATGACAGTGGTCACTGACCTGTGACAATTGGCCATGAATACCAAATAAGTAACTAGCCTCTGAGGCCTAGCCTAGTGGTTGTGCACCTCTGAGGCCTAGCCTAGTGGTTGTGCACCTTTTTTTTTTTTTTTGATCAGTGCCCAAATCTAACGAAATAAAGGCTTTGATACAAAATAAATTTAACACCATAGTTACCGCAATTACAAACTACTGTAAGCATAATTCAAAATGTTATAAAATCCACTAAAAAAATAATTAATAGCTCAATTTTTTATGAATTGTTTATCAGGTTGACATCCGATGACCATACGATGCTACACAAGACATTTCAAGGATAGTGCACCCTCTAAAATTATTCCTTTTTAGCAGTAAACAAGTTTTCCAAGAAATAATTTTTTCCTTCATAATTAAACATTAATCATTTAAAAACATGATTTACATCTTAATAATTAAAATTGTTTCCTACTGTACAATTTATGTCAAAGAGTATTTATATATAAATACTGAATCCTATGGTACACAGAAATCAAACGAAATGTAATTATCATTTGCATTTAAAAGGGAACTAGAAAGATGAGGTTTTTTCTAGAGGGGATTTTTGATGTCATGAGTAATAGATTCAACTTAAAATTTTTTTTTTTGGGGTAATTTTTCAGGTAGTTATTACGATTTATTCCTTTAGCATTGTGGTTACAATTCAGTACCTTACACTAACCTCGCGCCTGCTAAAGGGAAAAAATCCTAATAGCCTATATTTTAATAAATTCATAAAAAATTGCTAAAAAACCATTTTAAAGTTGATTCTATTAAGTTTAATGACATATCAAAAATCCCCTCTAGAAAAAAAACTTATCTTTCTAGTTCCCTTTAATGTTAATTTGAAAGCATTTAGCATTTAATTAGGTATCCCAAAGAAGCTATTCTGCTTTACCAGAGAGTAATTTAATATGTTAGTATTATATATTTATTATCATTACTATTTTTGTTTCCTGTTTTCTGTGTATTTAACATACTTTTGAGTGAGATTACAGTCGATCCATTATACAAGCAATGCCTTTTACACAGCCTTGATGAAAAGAACCATTGTGCTAATCAAGAGTTTCCGTGTTATATATTATTATGCAATTACGTTTTCAAGAGACAGGTTCATACGATTGTAGCTCAATATAAATTAGGATTGGATCACGGCCAAAACTAACCCAAAAAAATGATGATGGGTTGAATAGACTACAACTCTATATATAACTTCAAGTATATAACTTCCGGTAAGCTGGATTTGTGCTTAGCCTTGCCAAAAATTTGCCAACAGGGGGTCTGAAGCAAGGAGCTCACTAGAGCTTTGGTCAGGGTCCTGGAATAAAAATATCTGAAGGGGATTTGTGGTGACAGTTTTTATGGCTTAGTGTGGCCCAAAATTGTGCTTTTTAGACAAAATTATTACAGATTGGCAATCAAAATTACGTTATTTGAATAGGCACTAGCTGGCGTAACCACTGATCTGGAGACCTCGATGCCTCAGTGCAGTCCAGCCCTATCGGTGAGTTAGGCAGGACCTGTGAACCCGCTGCTCTTTGCTAAAATGTGCACTGAATTCTATAACATGCACATGGGCTATGGTGCACTCAGCAGGAATGGTTGTTTGCTGGTGCATTGATATTCAAAGTAAAACATGATTTAGATAATGCAAACAATATATACTAACTATTTAATAAATTAAATGAAAAAAATAAATAAAAAAAGTTTTTAAAAATTCCAAAAAAATTTTTTTTTTTCAAAAGGAATTTTTTTTTCCCCAGTACCATAAAAGACATGCACGTGAGGGTGATAAACTAATAATTTTTTAAAATTTTGCCTAACAAGAAGCACAAAAGAGCACAAAAGTAATTCAAAATCAGTAAAATTACTTACCTATCACCTTGCACTATTTCTTGCTTGTCTTTAAACCATGTTATTTTTGGGCTTGGAATTGCCCCCTCCATGGGGCAGGTTAAGCGGACAGCTTGTCCCGCCTCATATTTGGGATTGACACGAGTCCTACTAAACTTAGGCATTGCTGAAAGAAAAAGGAAAATAAAGTTTAACCAATATTATAGAATACTGTAAAACATCAAATAGAAGCCATGGCCTTCTTTTCTTTTTTGCAACTTTTGGATGGGTTTCTATTCGAAATGGGCTTCTTTTCGAGGCAACCTTTGCAAAGTAAAGAAGGGGGAGGGGGATTAATTTTCAAAATGAATGCTGTAAATTTTGGGAATTACAACTATAAAACAATAAATAGGGCAAATGTAACACAGTCTATATTATGGAGTGTATTATTGTTAATCAATTCTATATATTGTATATTACTGCAATCTTTACTATTATACTTTATACACTTTGAAAATCAGTGCAATAGTACTGAAAGTGTCTACAGTATAAAGAAAGAATAAATATTATTATTATTATTATTAAAGTAAAGAAGGGGGAGGGGGATTAATTTTCAAAATGAATGCTGTAAATTTTGGGAATTACAACTATAAAACAATAAATAGGGCAAATGTAACACAGTCTATATTATGGAGTGTATTATTGTTAATCAATTCTATATATTGTATATTACTGCAATCTTTACTATTATACTTTATACACTTTGAAAATCAGTGCAATAGTACTGAAAGTGTCTACAGTATAAAGAAAGAATAAATAAATAAAAATAATGAAAAGCCCATAGGTCTTATGTCTATGTAATACTTTTTAAAATAAAAATTCGTTAACTTTTTTTCAAACACAGTATCTGCCATCCTTAACACAATTGCAATTTTTGATTACCGGTCTCATTGAAATTAAAGGCCATTTTTGGGAATGGAGTTTTAGTGGTCTTTACAGGTTTTGATTTTTGGTTCGAATACCTCTAATAAACGGATTTAGCGATGACTGTTTACAGGCAGTCATGTGACCTAACTTGGGTATACAAGAAAAACATTACAGTGCGATAGCATAGGAAAAGATAATGCTATGGTTCCAAAAACCACCACCCACTGTTAACGTGAGAAGTAAATGGCTAGGAAAGTCAGTACGATGTCCAAAATAGTGTTTATTTACTTATCCTAGGGTTCTCCTTGGATTTTATGCTTTGAAATTTAAGTGATCCTTCATAAAGCTTAGCTGGCCCGAACATCGCAGCGTAGTTCGCGGGTCGAAGACCATTATGCATACCCAACCATTTGTCGAAAAATCTCAATGTTTGCGGCCAGTATCCTTTATAGCATTAGCAAAATATTAAGGCAAAATTCTTAAGTTTAATTTCCAATCAATTTGGTATAGTTTACTGGGAATTATGATGATCTTTACAGCAATAAATGAGGGACGGCCGCAATAGAAATCTCTAAGCAAAACACCGCTGTGTCAGTGGATTGTTTATATCCAACACACAAGTTAGGTCATGTGACGCCCATCGCTATATCCCTCTATTGAAGACCTGCACTAAAAGTCATCTTTAAATATCTCTGTTTAGAGGAATATTAAAATATGATATAGTAAAATGTAAGATTGTTTTATTCCAAGTGTTTTAGTATGGATGTACAACTGCTGTTGCTATTGATTCATAATATTAATAAACAATTTCTCGCTATTCACACATCACATCCTACACTCGTTCTACCCATATCTCCATCACAATAGTACTAAAAAAACTGTTCAACTAAAAATTGGTAGGCTATTAAATACAGAGCACTGTATACACAAAACAACATCTGATGTATAGCATATTTTAATGTATTCTTTATTTGAATAGGAAATTTTAGTTAGGTCTGACAAAACCATGATTCAATATATATTTAAATTTTTTCTTCCCAAATATTTTAAAATGGAATACTGTATGCTGTTACTGATTCATAATGAACCATTTCTAGGTGACTACACATCAAGTCCTGTGCTTGTTCTACCCAAATACCCATGTAATTTACAAAATTCCATTTCACCGTCTTACGAACACTATCAGTATTCAATATGGGGCACTGTATACACAAAACGTCGGCTTTTGTATATTATTCTAATGTCTGTGTCTATAAAAAAAGAAAAACTACAATAAAATCACAATATTCTAAAAATGTTCAGTTTGGTTTATAAAAAAAACCATTGCCTTGTGTTAATAGAATCCCTATAATAAAAATAATAATAATTAAATCAGTTAATTTTAACATTTCATTATAATATTTACATTTCTTATTCTTCACGACTTCCAAGAGATAATTGATAATACAGTATATAGTAAAAACTTGTAAAAACATGCAAATATCGTGAATATGCAGCAGATATTTTACTGAACTTTATTGATGTAACATCTAAACCTAGGGTCGAATGGCTCCCTACTTCCATATTAAGAGTTATAATAAATAAATTTTGCAATGTAGGTCTCCTTACAATTAACGACTGCTTTTGGGACCAGGGTTTTCATGGTCTTTAGTAGCTTTGGTCTCTAATTAGAATAATAAATTTAAAAGACATTGTTAATATGGGACCACAGAAAAGTGGTGTTTAATAGGCATCTGTATTTAGAGGAAGACCTGTATTTAAATTTTTATTAGCAAAATAAACTTTATCCGATGAGTTAAGGAAATGGTAAACTGCAACCCTAGCCTCCAGAAATAGGAGCATACCGTAATAATAATAGTATATTAATACACAGTACACTGAGCAAACAACATTGAAGCTAAGATTGCTCGAAGATTTACCATTGTGCATTGACCCAACCTAGTTCCCAAATGTTCTACTAAGAAGCAGGCAAACATTGCAAATTATCATGCACACCTGATTTACAGGTGCAATTAAATTAATCAATTAATAAATTCCACCAAATATCTAACCTATGTATAACCTTTTAAAAAAACACTTAGAATAAGATGGTTTTTTTTTTCTTGTGACTACTTCTATACGATAGTTATGATCGTAAAGTATCACTGACATTTGGTGCAATAATATGAATAAATGCATGAATGTCCTATGAATAAACCAATAATTCTATTAAATTAATAAATGCATGCATAGATAAATAAATGTGTACAATAGGTTAATGCAACATTCAGGTGTTATCATCATCAGTATCATTTAATTACAGGATAAATATTTTTAGCATTTTTATAAAACATACAAAAAAAATATTCAGAATACACTTTCAACAGACTGATCTTACACTTGGCAACTCTCATGCATAATATCGAGTCTCGTGCATGTGCATTCACTTTTTATGTCTCGCACATACGTTGTATCAATCTCGCATCAAAAAAATGTTATAAAAGGAAAAATGCATACGCTGATTTAATGCGTAAAAATGAAGTGAATTCGTCATTAAAAATCTGAATACAAGCTATATAAAATTCTTTTAATGAAGCTATATTGACCAACGACTGAAATCAGTAGCAGTTCCAATAGAATTTTTTTTAAAACATAGAGGGTGCTCTATTTCATGATTTTTACATAGAAGGCGCTATATACCAAATTTATTATTTTGTTTCGTGCATCAGACACCAACAAAGTTGGCATGTATATTATCTAAACCAGCGTTACCGCAGTGAAGCGCCCCCTATCACAGGGTACTTGGCCAATGTGTATGGTTTCATCTAAAAAGTGTTGTAGTGGATCCAAAATGTTATTGTTGGAGAGTGCAAAGTGCCAATCAGAGACCATGGAGTGCAAGGGTGAAAGGTTAGAAGATGTTTGCTGATAATAATTGTGTGGTTCAGGTGGAAGCTTCTAACTTCAGTCATTAGTATTCTTTAATCTAAAGGAATTCATGCTTATTTAAAGCACTTTTTGCTATGCCATGGGCGATTGCCTCTTTTGACACCCCTGCATCCCCCACTCGGTAATTTAGACTTCTATAAGGAAAACAAATAACATTTATATTGGTGAGGAATATTGCTTCACCTACACAACATGTTTGTTCTTCTAGCATCATCAACCTTGAAAATGAACTCAGAGATCATTCTAGGTTGAAACAATCACTTCCCAACGGCCTATTCAAAAAGGAGTTTAATGCTAATGATGGAAAGGTGAAACAATGACCCTACTGTAATATCCAAGTACAGTATCAGCAATTTCAGCAATGTAGTACACTTGTTCAATATATTAGCCTACATTTTCTTACACATTCCAGGTATTGCTTGTTATGTATTTTTATAAGGTGTTGTTGATAGCTAGGTCTTGCATATTAAATGAGTGTGCTACACATCTCATGATAGTATTGCATATTTTGCTAATTCTCATTATTGGCATTATTGCTCCATGTTTTCAATAAGTGCTAACAGACTATATTAACACTCTGCCCGCCAAACACGGAGATCTCCGTGTTTGGTAACGCAACGCTTGACCGCCAAACATGGAGATCTCTGTTTCTGGTTTTTTTATGGAATCCAATAGATGGAGTAATTACCAAGATGTACTAACAATTTAACACTATATTCAGTCTGGACTGTAAGTATTTCACTATTTGTTTGTTTACATTAGCATAGAGCCGTATTGATTTACTTTTGAAAATCGCGATTATCTCGGCTTCATTGTGCGAAATTGCGTAAATCTCAAAAAGTGAGTCATTTTCATTTTACTGTTATGGGTCACTGATTGTGATTAGAATAAAATGTTTGGTATCATTGTAAAGCTAAAATGCATGTAGTTTTTGTAGTATTCACTACATGACAATCTGATCGCATACCCACTCTCAACGAGCTTCGGAAAAGTGTTAAAATTTGCCAAAACGTCTGGCGGTGGCTGATACTATTTTTTCAAACCCTTGGCGGTCAGAGTGTTAAAGGACTATTAAAGGTTGCATATATATTCATTTTCTCCCTCATATGATTGGTCTCAATCATACAGAATTTCTTCCTCACAAGATTAGTACTAAGGTCTTGCATAATGAATTATTTCTCAAACAGTCTCTTGCATGCGAATGGCCTCACAACTTTTTTACATGTTACGGCCAATAATTAAAATCTTGAATATTCTTGAATGCGTGCGAAATAAGAAATATGTTACTGATCTTGCTACTTATGTATATTTCACTGGTGTTGAAGTCTCTCA